AGGCTCAAGTCCATATCAAGCTTTCACTCTTTGATAATATTGATATTATTTTTTGTTAAAAAAAACCCTCTTATCAGCATTACTAGCAGTCTGTATATCAAGAGAGAAATATCCAGCCAGAATTACTTCTGATGTGTTTCCTCACTGAAAAAAAATGAGATGTTGAATGTGTTCACTCCACAGAATCATTCCTCAGTACCTCATAATGAAAGCAAACCTCTAAATTCTTTCTCCAAAGCTAACTATGAAGACAGGGATTTCTCCCAAATGTAGCAGCCAGTTCAACTTTTTAGTTCGGGTGAACAATTTTGTCTGAAATCAATCAATTACCTTACCTTACCTAATTGGAAGATTCACTAAAAGTAACTTATCTTCACAGCATATCACAGTTGCTGAATTTCTAACCTCAAAATGCTGTCAAAATGAAGACAGCAAATTCTCCTTTGTATACAGAAGCATAACTGTAATATTAATGGTGTACTTACAAGATTTGCAAACACTTCTTATCTTTTTCTTCAATTAAGTAAGGGAGCATGTGTTCTCTGATCTGACCAGAATTTAAATCAAACCCTAACAAAACCTCTATATTTTCTTTAATTTTCCATCTGTAACAGTCATTAAGGAAAAAAAGGGAAATTTGTAGAACTAGGGGGTCATAGCTCAGCTGTAGATCATTTGCTTAGCATTCATCAGGTCATAGGTATAATTCACAGCTCTGAAATAAGATAAAATGAAATGATATGAAATAAAATAAAATGTGTGTAACTCTAGGATTTAGGGTTTATAAAACCGAAGCTAAATGACAAAAATCTACTTGATAGAAAGTATGCAGACACAACAGGGGAAAATTACTTTCTTGGATAGTACAAAATTACTAATATATTTTGGTCTGAGAAGGAACAATTTCTCTTGATTCTTAAGGAAAAGGACTTCGAAGTAACCAGTTACTAAGTTATGCTTTAGGTTGATATCAGTAACCTAAAGAATATTAGTCATCTCATTTTATGAAACATGGGTTTTCTAACAAATAATTATATATTTTAAAACATATACATGTTTTTTATTTAAAGAAATTCCATATATTATTAGTTGATATATAGTTATATGTATTTATGGTTAGGTGTGATAATTACAGTGTGTAATTATTGAACGGGGGGGGGAGTACAGTTGAGGAGGTGGGAGGGAAGGGATGGTAGGGGAAAAACAAAGGAGGAGGCAACAATGCTTGATAAGAAATGTACTCATTACCTTGCTTATGTAACTGTAAGCCCACTGTACAATATTTTCACAATGAAAAACTTATTTAAAAAAAGAAAAAAATGTCAGCATTGTATTGACCACGTGTTTTCCTTTTCTTAATTGTCTATGCACTAACTCATTCCAAACCTTATTTGAGCAGTTAAAGAGGGGTTGGCCTCTCTCTGAGAGAGGACACCAATTCTTTCTGATCTTATGTGCTTCACTTGAATAAATACTGAATGTGAAATGTTACATAATCAACATGCATATAATCCTTTGATTTTTTGTTTCAAATTTTTCTCCAAAGCAATTTCATACTCATCAGAAATGGCATATTTTCCTATAATGGACAATCTATTCAAATTTTATGACAATATTAGCCAAATATTTTCCTTTCCATTCATTTTATATCTTCCAGATGAAAGTGCAAAGTATTTCAGGTAATTGGTAGAATAATAAGATTCTGGATAGCCTGCCTAATGTTTACAGTGCCAAGCTAAAGGCTGTTCTCATAGTTATCCATACATATAGCTGTCCTAACATTCCACTTCCATTTCTTTTGGAGCCCTTCTTGCTTGGTACTTCTCTACAATTGCTGAATATAGTAAAACCCAGACTTAAAGGAGTGTCAGAAACGAAGTGAACAAATACAGTTATTTCCCAAGTGAAGTTATAGAAAGCCTGATAGCTTTAGTGGTTTCTGAGGAACTACACATTTCACTAGTGCTATGACTAGAACTCTGTCTTCCAGAGCAAGAAGGTTGTATATGTTAGCTTTCTCTGGAAACAGATCTTGTGTGAAAGATACAGGAGGAAGCAATTTATTTGGCTGGTGATCTCATGATGTATTATGAAAGTTTGATAATGTGAAAAAATACCATGAGGAATATTTGAAGCCCAGTTTTGCTGAGAAATCTCTGAGATACTGTGAGGAATATTTGTTGAAAATCTCCCATTCTAGGAGAAGTATTGTGTTTTTGTGTACATACTAATACCAGAGGTTGAACTGAGAGCTTCACACTTTTGTCTGCTTTCTTATACTTAGGACTCTGATATTTGAGTCATGCCTGTAGTCAGGCATTTTGCCGGTTAAATGTAGAGGGAATCTCAGATGTTTCTGTCTGGGCTAGCTTCAAATTTCAATACTCCATTTTCAGCCTCCTGAGTAGCTAGGATAACAGGCACGAACCACTGGTACTTAGTGGGACAATAATTCTGTGTGATTCATTTTTCAATTCCCATACCCCACTGGTTAAGAGCAACCCTCGCAGTACTACTTCCACTTGCTATCCACCCTCCAAGTGGCCGCTTTACTCTTGAGACCAACTAATAATCTCAGGCAGAATGAAGTCATTGTTAAATAAAAAATTCTGTGCTTTCAACATAGGCAGACAGGAAAGGGGCAAGCAAAGCATTGATGATATGAATGCATGCTCCACACAAGGAAAGTGGTAAGATTGGAGAATATTTGGTATAATTTCTTTATTCCATTTTCAATGAAAGTCTTTGTGACAAGTTAACCTAAGTCAAAATATCATACAATGATTATACTACCTCATTTGCTTTCCCTGATGGTATAGTAGGTGGGGATAGTCATTACTATTCTTCTTTAAATGCTTGATCTGAATCTACTATGACCAATTGATTCTTTTTAGGGCCGATATAGCAAAGACTGGTCAAATGTGAAGCATATTAAATAAGGAAATATAAAGTCCGTCATGGGACTTGAACTCTGGGCTTGGGTGCTTTCCCTGCGCTCTTAAGCTGAAGGCGAGTGCTCTACCGCTTGAGCCACAGCACCACTTCTGGTTTTCTGGTGGTTAATTGAAGAGTCTCAGGGACTTTCCTGCCTGGGTTGGCTTTGAACCACGATCCTCAGATCACATCCTCCTGAGTAGCTAGGATTACAGGCGTGAGCCATCAGTGATGGGCAAAAGGTATCTTTTATCTGGATGGAAGTATTCTGAAACTAGATCTGACAAATAGGTATAATAAGAGAAAATGAACTCAGGCATAATGCAGATTTAGAAAGAGTAGAAGGCGCAAACATTTCCTTTCAAATCCAAACATCCAAGAAATGCTAATCTTAACATTGCCAGATAAAATAAAGAGTGTCCAATAAAACATAAATTCATGTTTTATGAATTTCATGGGACATACTAAGAATATTGGTTGTTAATCTGAAATGCAAATTTAACTAGCTCTCTTGTAATTTTATTTACTAAATATGGTAACTCAAATCCCTGGCCAATCACCAAGCTTCATCCCACTTATGGACTGTGTAAGGCTCTATTGCAATTATAAAACTGAGAGACACTTTGATACATACATATACACACACACACACACACACACACACACACACACACACACACACACACACATATTGGTCATGGGGCCTGAACTCTCGGCCTGGGTGCTGTCCCTCAGCTCTTTAGCTCAAGTGCTCTACCAATTGAGCCACAGCACCACTTCTGACTTTTTCTGTATATGTGGTGCTGAGGAATCAAACTTAGAGCCTCATGCATGCAAGACAAGCACTCTACCACTGAGCCACCTTCCCAGCTCATACTTTGATATTTTATAGAATGAGCAGAATATATATAATTCTGAATTAGAAATATTCTTATGGAAATCTCAAGCTTAGAAATAAAAGGGTATTTATGGAAACCAGGTGTAAACTTTGTTTAAGATATTTTATATTTCATAGGTAAATAATATTACAGATCCTCATTTTTGTCAAACTTGATCTGTTTTAAGTATGTAAAATACTATGTAAAATAAATCTTAAATTGTAATAATGTAATATGTATTGCAGGTAATTAAAAAGAAGCTCTCTCCCACATAACCAAAACTTCAGCAAATCTCACACATTGCATTGTTCTCCCCAAGAATAAGTTTGATATATTCAATAAACAGATAACCTTGCTAGACTGTTTGGAAAAAAGCTTTAGTCTGTTCAATGCTTCATTACAAAAATACCTGAGATTATATAAGTTATAAAGAACAGAAATTAATTTTCTCATAGTTCTAGAGGTTGGGAAATCCAAGATCAAGATTCATCTACTGAAGCTCTTCTTGCTGTATTTTTGATGGATGAGAAAGGAAAACAAATCCTCCAGAACGCTATTTTCTATTTAAAACTGCTTTAATCACTTGCTAAATAGAGCCTTCATGGCCTAACATCTCCTAATAGTTCCACTTGGGTTTTTGTTAAATTTTTTAAAATTATCTTTATGTATTTGTACAAAGAAGTTCCCATTCTACAAAACAGTATATGAATACAAAGTGTCTGATAACATTGTCATTCATCGCTCTTCTACTTGGGGTTTATGCATATGTCAGTCCTTGGGCTTGAACTCAGCCTGGGCATTGTCCCAGAGTTTTTGTTGCTCAAGGCTAGCACTCTACCACTTCAGCTACAGCTCCACTTCTTGCTTTTTTGTCATTAGTTGGACATAAGAGTCTCGTGGATTTCTTACCTGGGCTGGCTTTGAACCCTCAGATCTCAGTCTCCTGAGTAGCTAGGATTATAGGCGTGAGCCACAGTTGCCAGGCTTCCCATTTGTTAATTCTAAGAAGCAGTATTCAAACCATAGCAACAGAGATTGCAATGTCAATAGATAATATTATGTTTTGGTTATTGTTGATTAGAAGTTTTCTTATCCATAAACTATGACATATGTCTACCAACATAAATACACACAAACATTTACAGATTGTTTGACCATAGAAGACATGCAGCATTAATATATCCTAACCTTATGTTGTTGTACTTGTCGTTTTAAGTCTTCAAGGTCAGGTCCAAGAGGCTCTTCCTCCATTTTCTTTGTTCTTTCTTCAGTTTTTGTTAGCCAATCATTTAATTCTTTCAATTTTTGATTCTGGAGATCCATTAGAACTTTATGCAAACTAAAATTTGAAAGAAGTCTGTTATTACTTCCACTAAACAATTTATTACTACATATACAAATAGGTAAAAGAATAGTCTTTTACGTTTTATGGCCTATTTAAAAATATAGGCATCAATTTCACATTGAAAATAACAAATAAAATGTACAATCAACTCTGAGCTATAATTTCTTAGATTTATAGATTACACATCCTGATTTCCAAAACATTTTACAGAGCTAACTAAAGATGGACATGCTAACTAAAATGAAAACTGTTTCTGATAACTAAATTAATGTAGATTGTGTCAATTTTAATTTATTTATATTTTTTGTATGGAAAACAGCCACAAATTCTCTTTACTTTTTGATTTAAATAAAATTTGTTTAAATTATTAAATATAAATATAAATATACATACCTATGAGATAACTGAATGTTTCAATACATGTGTATATTGCAGAATGCTTACATTATGCTAACATATTTATCTCCTTAAAGGAGTATAATTTCACTTTTTTGGGGGGTCCAGTCGTGGGGCTGTCCCTCAGCTCTTCAGCTCAAGGGTAGCGCTCTACCACTTGAGCCACAGCGCCACTTCCGGCTTTTTTCTTTTTGCTTATGTGGTGATGAGGAATAGAACCCAGGGCCTCATGAATGTAAGGCAAGCACTCTACCACTGAGCCACCTTCCCAGCCCCAAGAGTATAATTTCTAAATTGCAAAATCTTTCAAAATCCTTGTAACATTTTTGCAAATGTATATATAGTACATAATTCCTATGTACAAATACCCCAGTCTGAAATAGCACACTAAAACTTCTTATTCTTCTGACTGTAACTTAGTACCAAGTGGTCAAACTTCTCCCAACTCTGCCACAAGTTGCTATGCTTCCCATCAAAAGTAGGGTCTATTTCTTTTTTTGGTTGGTCGTGGGGCCTGAACTCTGGGCCTGGGTGCTGTCCCTCAGCCCTTCAGCTCATGGTGAGCGCTCTACCACTTGAGCTACAGCACCACTTCTGGTTTTCTGCTGGTTTATTGGAGATAGGAGTCTCACGGTCTCTGCTGCACGGGCTGGCTTTGAACCGCGATCCTCAGATCTCGGCCTCCTGAGTAGCTAGGATTACAGGTGTGAGCCACCAGCACCCGGCTTGGGGGTCTATTTCTCACCCTCATGTATACAGTCTGACCTTCTGACTTAATTTGACAAATATAGTGTGGCAGAATTGACAATTTTTAAAAATTATAGACTGGTTAAAAATTTAAGCTCTAAGAAAACTGACAGCATTTGTTTTTTCTCTTTTGGAGCCCAGAATTCAAGTATTACTGGAGGCCAGGCTAAACTAACAAATGATTGAAGACCATATAGAGAAACACCTTAGAGGATGAAATGCTATTTCATTCTGAACATCCAGCTAAAAACAGTTCAAAAAATAACTCCTGTTATCGCACTGGAAACAAAATGATAACCCTGCCTTCAGCACTACCTGTATTAGAGATCTACAGGACCATGATGAAGAAGGTATTATTTTAAGCTGACTTTGAGATCAATTATTATGCAGAAATAGAGAAAAAACATGGTTGTTTATTCCTATCTACCAAGGGCTAGAGGCATGGCTCTTGTGGTAAGGGACTTATCAAGCAAATGTGATTACTTCAGTTCAAGCCCCAGTATCAACCCTTCAACAAACATTAAAAACCCCAAAAACAAAAATCACAAACAATCAAGATACATGAAATAATGGTGGATTTAAATTCTAATGACCATGGTTTACCATCTAGCCATAAGATCTATAAATCAGATCTTAAACTTCCTAAATTACATTTGCAGTATTATGGACATGAAAAAATATTTTTGACTATTGTAATATCTGAGTTACCCTGCAGCCTTATTTGTTTCTGGGGTTTGCACATGGGCAAACTTAAAGCCCCGCCTTTTGCCCGCCAAAATGTAAGCCCCGCCTTTGCCTGCCAAATTCAAGTGCCAATTCAGACCAAAATGGCAGGTTAATTTAAGCAGCTACTATCAGGCCGACTGTAACTCCATTGGGTACCTGCGTGTGGCCTGACATGATTATGCAATCTTTTGTGTGTGTTGCAAACCCATTGGCCACCTGCTTGTGGCCAGATTTGACCTCATGGATTCTGTCTTTAAAAACCTCAGCTTGTGGACCATTCGGGGGCTCAGTTTCAGCTCCCGAGTCTGTGCTGTGTCCCCAATAAATCCATCTTTATACATGAGGCTGTCTCTGAGTGGTGGATTCTTTTCCTCCTAACAACCATTAGCTTTATGGTGTATGGAACAGAGTTACACAATTTTACCTACAAAAACTTGAGATTGAAGTTAGAAGTCCTAATACCTATTTTAAGGCAAACATTCCTTGTGAAAGTCATGTTTAAAGAATTTTGGCCACAGTATACTGAGTACTGATTCTATAAGGCAGATAAATTTGAATCAGAATTTATTACTCACACTTAATGGGATCTTTATCAGAAATGCCCATTAATCAACAATTTAAACATACATGACACACACATCTCTGAGTAATAAAAAGATTTAGATTACACCATTTATTGGCCTTTAACATTTTCTAGGCAAATTTACCTAGAGTCAAGCTGAATTCTAAATTCTATGAGAATGAACTTTCATTTATCAGACTAAAAGTAGACATTTTCTTTTTATGGGTAACAGAGATGAAGTATCCATTAACTAAAAGGAAAATCTGAACGTTGCTGTTTAACTCTTAGACAATGAACACCATTCCAGCACAGAAAGTTATATAAATCTCTCAATTTATTGTGCTCTTCTATGTGTTGAGAACTGAACAGATAACACAATTTCATGAAATTTGGTTGAAGTCATATTTCTTGTTTCTGTTGTTTTTCCTGCTAGGCTCTTTAGTGTTAACATAAAAAAATCTCACATTTCAAATACAGAATTTTTTAAAATCCCACATTATTTTCAGTTGAGGAACTTTGAAATCTAACACATACTTGTTAGTATTAATGAATTCAATTTCAAAGTAATATGTTTATATATAAATATATATTATATGTTATAATTATATATAAACATATTACTTTGAAATTATATATATAATTACATAAAATATATATTTAAACTATGAACAGTCCATTAAGCAAGTATTCACTGAATCCCATATTGATGTAAGAAACATACACACACATATTTTTTTTTCCCTGATCTGGTGCATGAAGTCTGGGTCTAGGTGCTGTCTCCTGGAGTTTCCTGCCTGGGCTGGCTTCAAACCACCATCTTCAGATCTCAGCCTCCTGAGTAGTTAGGATTACATGCATGAGCCACCAGTACCTAGCTGGAGACTCCTATTTATAAGGAATAAAATCAAAATTTATACTCCCTCAGGTTCACATAGGTTAGAGACTATTCAGCTATAATATGACAAGAGAAGTCAGCGTAACTACATTTAGATACATTTCGAAGGGTCCAAAAGGCAAAGGCTACAAGAATGATTTTTCTAAGAGGAAAATGGACTTGTGAATAGGAAAACTCTAGAAGACTCTAGAAAACTCTAGAAGAAAACTCTACAAGAAAAGATGATGTTCACATTGTTGGAATCTGTTAAAATAAATAATTTAACCTTACAATCTTTTCCTTTGGACTACAGAGACAATTATTATTATTTTTTCTTAGTCATGGGGATTGAACTCTGGAGCCTGGGTGCTGTCCCTCAGTGCTTCAGCTCAAGGCTTGCACTCTACCACTTGAGCCACATTCCCAGCCCCAAACACATGTACTTTTAACATAACATTCAGTATCTTTTATATTTTTCCATTATTGTTTCTTTAAATAATGCAAGCAATGAGATTTTTCCTTACTGATTTCTATGGGGCTACTGAAATAAATTAACAGGTAATCGAAGTTGCTATGCTTTCTTCCCTCATTGAGGCCTCTGAGGAAAAGAGTATCAATAAATACAGGTAAATTACAGGCCAGAGCCCTATGGGTGAGCAGCAAGAAGTAAGTAATAGCCCAATGCCACACTGGGCCACAGGGAGAAACAAATGTTAGGGGATATTTCCAAAAGGTGATGTTAGGAGCCTTCACAACACAAACTCTCTTTCCAAAATGTAGAAGCAGTAACTTCAGGGATAACTTCAGACATATGTTTCCCAAATGTAGAAGGAGTAACTCCAGGGATAACTTCAGACATATGTTTGTGAGATATGAAATGATCATATTTGGTCATTGTTATCACCAACTAAGGTAGATAATACGACTGCTATTTTATTACTAAAGACGCTGTAAGCTTGAAAGGTGAAAGAACTTGCCAAAATAACTTGTGAAATCAGCATACAAATTGTAAGTTCTTAACATTTAACTATTTGTCTGGAAGAATTTATGTCATACGATTTGCTGATATTTGAGCCTTTTTAATCCATGAAAATTACTACTTTGATACTGATCAATAAACATGATTTAAATAAGTTCCAGCCAGGTGCTCTAATCCTAGCTACTTAGAAGGCTGAGATCTGAGGATCACCGTTCAAAGCCAAGCCCAGGCAAGAAATTCCATAAGACTCATGCCCAATAAACTACCAGAAAACTGGAAGTGGTGCTGTGGCTCAAGTGGTAGAACACTAGCCTTGAGCTGAAGAGCTGAGAGACAGCGCCCAGTCCCAGATTTCAAGCCCCATGACCAACAAATAAAAAAGTTCCAAGTTTCCAGCTAACAATCTAAATAAACAAATTTGGTTCATTGTCCAATTGACAAATAAGTATCTGTCACCCATAGACAAGAAAAGTTTGCCTTTTTCTTGGTTTCATATTATGTTTTTTCTCTGATTTTTATTTAGAAAGGAAAATAGAAGCAAAAGAAGTGTGGAGGGCAGGTGTATGAGACCTGAGATGATAAATAGTAATCATCCTTAAGGTTTAACCAGTCAAGTAGGTTACACTACACATCTAAAATCAGTAGGCTTGATTCTGTATTTTTAACCAAGTCCAAAGTACATTACTTAAAGAAGTAAGGGTTAGGTTCTT